CATAATTCAAACTAAGCTTGATTTAGAACCCATGAGAGAGATTCAAGCTTAACCTAACCTAGCTTGGGTGTGCCCCCTTTGGAGAGAGAGAGAGAGAGAGAGAGAGAGAGTAACCTATGTGGCGCATGCCCTTAGAGAGGCTAGAGAGAAAAATATTCTATTTCAGAGAGAGAAGAGAGAGTAAGTAAGAGGTGTAGAAACAAAGGAGGAGAATGATCCATTTTATATATTCTTTTATGCATTAGGGTTTGTCATAAAATTGTAGGAACAACTTTTGACTGTCCATCTAAGGAGACGTATCGGGTGAGAGATGTGAACTATCAATTCCCTAGATTTACCATCAAGATGCTAAGAAATATGCTAGAACATTATCCTCCCCTCCTTAAACTTATTCTCATCAAATAAGTTAAATAAGAAATTACTTCTCTATTAGTAAATATCCATTCCTTATTTTTCAAATCAAATCTTCATGATTAATAAGATATTCTAAAACTCAATATTATCATTCCTTAATGCAAGCATGCGTCTCTTCAAAAATAGAAAGCTAACTAGCACGAGATGCCTCTCACCATACTTGGAAAGAAAACGCAATCCCCTGTGGGTGGGGTGTGCCACCCTTTGGTGGCCACTCATGGGCCCTGCCCAATTGTCCCATGTGATTTAAATGGGACTCCAATAATTATGAAGGGTCCCTCATATTTTAGAAACAATAAAAATTGATTTTTATATTTTTCAAACCTCTTAATTTATTTAAACCTTGTCTCTTGATTTATAAATCCAAATATCAAAAGTTTATAAAAATTCAAATAAACATTTTAAAAATAAAATAACATAAAGTTAATTAAATTAAATTAATTTTGATGAGAATTAGATCCGAATAGGTCTAGGATTTAATCAACGCACAAGAGCACTTCACCTTCAGTTATGGACTACCATCTACACCAGCTTTCTGAAAACTGACCCAATAGTTATCATGACCAACAATCTACTACAAGGGCTCATGATTGGACCGCCAATGTCAATCGATGGGCTAGAGGATGTAATCCCAATCTGTGGATTTCAGGTTTTCCCTTAGAGAGACCACGATCCGTCAGACTATGATGCAACCATGATACTATGGTGCATAGGGGTAATCTCTCATACATGTTCATGCTTTATCTCTCATACATGTACATGATTCATCCTCAGTGGTGGATTACTGTCTCTGTACGGCTATCTATGTATATGCCATGTGATGATACAACGATAAGGTTTTAGTCGTGTCTCTATAGATCATTTATCACACACAAGGGTCACATAGTCCCTCGGCTTTTATCCGGACATACTCCAGCCCCATAAATGGCTAACCCACTAAACCATCATCAGTTTCCTCTTTATGCCCAGGTACTTTGGGTTTTCCAAGTCGGCTGGCTTAGCACGTGAAGCCTCGTCCTAGTATCGGCAAATTGTATTAGCTTAATTTGGTCCACAAGAGGACCACAATCTCATTGAGTTTATATTTCACTATATACAATACTCATACAAGCTCGCATATTGCCTTTAAAGGCCACATAAACTCAATACAAAGTACTTTATGGAATTTCCCACAAATTTTTAAATTTGATGCACATGACCCTTTCTTTTATTATATTAAAAACTATCACCACTTCATATCTTCAATATCCGAATTGATAAAATCTATGACTTCGGATCTTGAATAGCTGAGCTCATGATCCATATATAAAATCAAATGTGACTTATGATCTTCATGTCTTAATTTCATATATTCAAAATTCAAAGTCAAATGTGACTCAAATCATGAAGATTCTAAGTCACATTTGGCTTCCTGAACTTTAGATTTTCAAGGTCAAAAGTCATAAAATGGTTTCTTCGCATTAGATCTTGAAGATCTAAAGTGGCTGTAATTCGGGACAAAAAGGGGGAGAGAAGAGTACATGAGTAAATTTGAAATATTAGAAGGAGAATTCTTTAATAACACTAATTTAGGAGATTATAGAATAAAATTTTCTTCATACTAATATTTCCAACAAAATACCAAATACTCATAATGCATGCAAAGATTTATTTTCAATGATAAGTAGCACTTTACACTACAAACAACAGGAGACATCGATATTTGTTTAATAAATAAGGGAAAATTTTATTTCTTCTTATAGGAGCACATCTTACATTCACGGTCAGAGCTAAAATCCTATATGGGAGTGCTTCTAGGAACCTGTGGAAGTGACCTCCTAAACTTGGACCAACATCAAAAACAAAAATAAAAATTAGAAAAACAAAAAGCATTGAGATTTTAGGGTCCCAACAATTCTTCAATGTTGAGCTTTACTTGAGGGAGTAACTACAAAGTATGCTTCCAAGGAAGCACAAAACTTTTCGCATAACTAAATAATATTGACCATTAGAGGATTGTATACTATAGGGCCATTTAGTTTTTGTTGAAGGAGGTTACAATCATTTTTAGCCATTGGATCTGAAATCCAACGGATTGAAATGTATCAATCGTTAAAAAAAAATTATCTTATACATGTTTTTCGGCCAATGACACATCCCCAACAACTCGATTTCACATTTATTGGTTAACAATGTCAACGATCCCTATAAATCTTCTCAAAAAAAAAGAAAAAGTCTTATTGCATATATTTTTTTTTATATTTCATACATTCTAAATAAATAAAAATAAAAGTCAACATCTCCTTGATACCAAAAAAATAATGCAAGCCCTTCAAGGTTAACCTTGCACGTGGGGTAATTGAATGGCATGGTTAAGGTGGAGTCAATGATTGTATCGGACACGGCCGTGTCTTGTAAAGAAGCAAATTGCTTTGGTTAAGACTTAAGAGTAATTTTATAACCTCTCCCTACCATAATCATCACTCGTCCAAGTGAAAATTACATAACAAGTTAAAACCATGGGTAATAATGACACTCGTAATAAAAAGGCTTAGAGCCCCCAACCTAACAGATATTCATTAGCTTAATTAAAGTTTGTTCCTTTTTAGAAAGTACATTGAGAAAATTACCCTCTTTGTGGCATTATTATATAAAGCAAAAGGCAAAGATGACATTTAAGTGATTTTTCCTCCTATAAGGGACCTTGATGAGTGATATTCGTTTCAAATGATGAAGGCGTGCTGGGGTCATGACATCATTCAATACATTAACTCGTCTTGCAAAGATCATCCCCACCTCGATGGCCATAGCCATGGCCATGGCCATGGCCATGAAAGAAAATATAAATTTCTAGCTTCGACGTAGTCTATTTTGCAACGGTTTTTCTAAATAATTCATTTCAGGTCATAACATATCCATTATATTCTATACTAATTTTTTGGATTCTAGGGCTCAAAATGGATTTGAGGGTTACCTCAAAGTTTTGGGTGCCCTAATTAATATTATCAAATGGATATCGATTACCACATATCGTGTAGCTGTTGCCCTAGCATGGCTTTAACCTTTTAAAATAGTGTAGAATATATGTGGGGGTGATTCGGCCTCCGTAGGGGTGGCAATGGACATTACCAAACTTGGGACCCGATAGGTAGACTGAGCCTTGGGTCCGTGTATATTGAATATTATTCGGGTCCGGGTCTAAAGTTCAGTTGAACTCGACCTATACCCGACCCATAGTCATAGGGTATGTGATGGCAAACATGTGTCTTTAGGCGGGCACTAGGTTTTCATATTGTCTCAATATTGACAACACTTACAGTATTATGGGCTAAAAAAAAAAAAAGAGTTTATAGTTATAGTGTGGCAATGGATTCGATCAGACTGAAGACTCGACGGATTCAGGTATATGTCTAAAATTTGGACCTAAATACTAGATGGATCTAGCCGGAAGCGACCCCGTACCCGACCTGTTGCTGCCCCTTGGCCCCATAGACCCATCTTAGATTATGGACCGACAATAATTTGAATCCGATTGAATACGCAACCTGAAAAATATTTAAAAATAAAACATTAAAAAAAATTGCGGTGTTGGGGGAGGGGGTTTATTTTTTTGGAATACCGATTCCTTCCCAAGATCAACAAATAGACGGAATACTAATGTCTCCGGTTTCCAAATGATGCATTAAAATTTAAAACATTGAAGTGAAGGAACCATGATCATGAGAGAGAGAGAGGTTCATAACGTGCGGCGAGAGAAAAAGGAGATATGTAACGGGGGGCGAGAGTGGGCGGGAAGAGAGAGAAAGTTTTAGATGCAAAAAGAGTAGAGAGAGAAAGTTTTGGACGAGAAAAAGGAGAGAGAGAAAGGGAGGAGGGGTGGCGTTTCAAGTACAAGGGAGGAAGTGGCCGACAAGAAAAGCGTGATATTTGGCCGCGGCCTCCCTCCCTCCCTCCCTTCACGAGGCTGAGAACCTGCGCCACTCCATGCACACCACAGCCTCTCTCTATGACGTGCTATGATTCACCTACGTGGCACAAAAACGAACAAGTTAAACTCCTGGATGGCCCAATATCAGATCATAACCATCGGATGCAAATATCAAATCTCCGCCATTGATGACATGGACCATTGCTGTTGCCTAGTTGCCCCGATTCTCGATTCCAGCACGGAGGCCACGTCGATGGAACGTTTTCCAGGTGGCTAAAAATCGTTAACAGCCGTTACGATTTTTCTCTCTCTCCAACAAACAGAAAAAGGAGAAAAATAACGAAAATGGCACAACTCTGACAAAACTGCCCCTGTTCTCGTAAGATTTCGTGACATTGAAAGAGCTTGAGCTTTTGAATTTCGGCAACATTTTCTAACGAAAATTTCAAAAGAAATTTTCAGCAACCGAAAGTACGGGAGAAGACGGGCACAATGGTCACACAAAAGGTCGTTTTGGGATTAGTGTTGTAATTATCGAAAATGTTTAGGACACTTTGCTCGTTTAGCCCCAATCAACATACGAAAAGCTACTTATTATGCTTCAATTTGCAGTCTTTAAATAGCGTTTGATTAGAGGAAGAGCTCTTAGACCGTCTTCCCTCTCTCTTTCCAACTGAAAACTAAGAGAGAGAGGGAGAAACGAGATTTAATAGAGAGAGAAAGCAACGAATTTAACGAGAATTTTCTTCTAATTTGAGCAGCTCAAGTTGCAGATAAGAGGAAAGCGTAGCTGCCATGGCGAGATTCCTTCTTCTCCTGCTCTTTGCCCTTCACATAAGGCAAAAATCACACTTCAATTTCAGTTCAAACGTATTCTTTGGTCTTTTTTGTTTTTTTGACGCATTACAATGGGCTTGAAATTAGGGTTTTGAGAAGTTTGCACAGACAGAGGGTGGCAACGGAATGTAGGAAACGTCTAACGGTTTTGTTGGAGTGAGAAAGAAGTGGAATTTGGCGTATAAGAAAAAAGTTATTGGTTTTGGTAGAGTGAGAAAGAAGTGGAGTCCCAGAGTGTTAGGAAACAGCCAGTGGTTTTGAGGAGAGTAGGTGGTTTTATGATTTTTCACTCTTTTTTCTTAATATTTCGGTGTGCGTTTATGCAGGGCCAAACCGTTAGCCGCTAGAGCAGAGGCTTTCCAGGATGCTGAAGCTGTGGCATCAATGGTGGAGAGGTTTGCCCCTCTCTCCCTCTCTCCCCAGGAAAAATGACAAAAATACTCGCTTTTTTTTGTAAAATGTATAGCGTTCTGGCTTTTAGGTCGTATGGCGGTTAAACGAAGAGTGATTTTATACACGGACCATACATTTTTTTTTTTTTTCTAAAATACAAAATGTTATATTTATAGGCTGAAATTATAAAGAATGTCAGTCGCACTTATTTTTTTTATTTTTTTCAAAATTGTCCATGATATAGAATGCTAACCCCTATAGGCAAAAATAACTAAGAAATAGAAATTTAAAATTCGGGCCGAGCATTCTATCATTAGAAAGAAAGGTAATTTTGAAAAAAAAAAAAAAAATAGAGTTGGGTTGATCGACGTTTTTTTTGTAATTTTTACCTATAAATGAAGCATTTGGTATTTTAGAAAAAAAATTTAAGGCTGATAAGTAAATCACTCTTAAATGGGTAAGGGCAAAAATGTCATTTTTAGAGAGATGTGGAGCGTTTATTAATCTTCCGTGGTCGTTGATTTGTTTTTTTTTTTTGGGTATTTTGGTACATTTTTTCTGATGAATGGGAGCTTTAGGTTTAGCCGGGGATTTTTGATCAACCGGAACCGTCCAGATCTAAATGAACGGCGAAAATTCGATACTGATGGTAACGCTGTTTCCGCGGGAAGGTTTCACTCGTGTGAGTTTTACGTGCCGTGTCCCCAAGAATGACCAAATAAACCCAGTCATTCATATGAATTATTTGGAATGAAAATTTGAAATAATTCGCAAAAATCCTGGTTCCATTGTGATTGGTAATTCTTCATTCTCCTAGAAAGATCTAGAAGCTCGACTCGTAAAACAATGATGGTCCTCCAAATTTGAGTTAAAAAATAAGGACTTAAATTTGGTAGTATTCCCATGAGAGATGAACTCTTCAATATTTTTTACATTTACACCAATTCCAACTTTAACCAGTATTATTTAAGAAACATAGGCCGCAGCTCTATCAAAAAACTTAAAACCTCATCTTAAACTTCAACGAAAAATTGTAGTTCTGGTGATGGAAAATCTTTAAATCGATCATTTTGGCAATGGCTATAGTCTTAAAAAAAAATTAAGATTTCAAGTCTTAAAAATAATGTATATCGTAACACATTAACCGTTTATTTCACCCCAAAAATAAGTATTCACATATCTACATGATCTGTAATTTTTTTTTTTTTGAGCTTCAAATTTCACAGTCAGTGTTGAAAATTAATTTGAAAGCCATTATGGAGATTTCCATCCAAAGTACTTTCTGATAAAGCCTAGACCTTATATAAAGATAAAAACAAAAAAAAATCCCTAAACTTTATAGTGGGTATTTTAAATTAAATCAAAGATATACCTTAATTATTAAATTAATGAGTATTTTAATAAATTTGCATTACATAGTGGGTATTTTAAATTAAATCAAAGATATAAGTATTAAATTAATGAGTATTTTAATAAATTTCCCTTCTTTTTTACAAAATCAAAGAAGTAAGTCTCTGGTAGTTTCGTCCCTCTATCTCTCCTTTTGGGTCTCTCTCCTGAGAAGTCATTCATGCACCCACACGCTGCGACGATGAACATGCGTGTGCTCTCTCTCTTGCTCTAAGAAGGCAACGTATGCGCACTATGCATGCATGTACCATGTCTATGATGCCACTAGGAGATGGCGAATAACCTGCTTTGTGGCCACGGGGAAAGTCGAGTATGATCCATACGATAAACTTATGGTCATAAGAGTGATCACCGCCAATCAACGGACGAATACTAATTGGAAGATAGTGGACCCACCACAATACGGATGACCCTGCCACGGCTAGGAGTTGGGCTTGGGCTTCGGTTTGTGCGTGTTTATCGAGGCTAATGTTCTGGCGGATTTTTTTGCCAAAAGGTTACAGCTTTAAAGTAGACTTTTGTTTCGGATTTTTAATTTTTTTAAATTTATTATTAATAAAATTTCTAATTTTTATAAAAAAATTACTTAAAACATAAAAAAAAATTTATATAGAATTGAAGTTCTAAACAACCAAATTAGGACCCACATCAAAAATTTCACTAAAAGAAGTTGTTATGATTTTCAGTATTGAAACCACGTTTCTCGACACTATTTGAAGTTGGGTTTTACTTTGATTGTTTAGAGCATTAGCTCGATCTAAACAGCACCCAAAAATAAAACAATAAACAAAAAAAAAAAGAGATGGTAACCCACTCTCACTACTTATTTATTTTATTTTATTTTGTTGTTGAACGGTTGAGAGTACGTTTCATTGGATAGAGGAACAAAGCTCCAAAATTACATTAGAAAACACAGAGGAAGAAGTAGAGGAGAATTCCCTATTTCCGTCACCCTCTCACTATTACCATTCATATTGGATGGGACACACTATTACCATTCATTTTGGATGGGACAGTGATTAAAACTTATGACTATGGAGTTTCTCGGGTCATATGGATCGCAATGTCTATTTTTAGAATGAAATATGAGAAAAATAAAATAAAATCCTACGGTTGTATTATTTACATGGGAGAATAATAAATTTTAGCTAATTATTCTTTCTAAAAACTTGAAAAATTTAGATAATTCTCTCTCTCAAAATTTTGAGATAGTTTTTCTATCTAGATTTTCAAATTTCAAGTTTTTGAAGAGACTATTGGGTTTATACATGGGAAGTATTATCATCTAAAATAAAGTTATTTTCTTCCTTAAACTGGGGCTGCCAAAATAAATAGTTATTTAGTTAGTTATGTGATTTAAATAATATTTAGAGGACTATGCCTAGAAAATATGGCTTAGGGGATATACATGATTTTCCCTAAAACTATTCCTACAAAAAAAAAGGAGCAAACATGATGAACTTTTTTCACTTGACTTCCTCCTCTTATATTTTCAATAATTTGCCCCAATTTCAAACCCGCAAAATTTTATCCTTTTCTAATAACATGTCTTGGAGCTTTAAGTGACCTTTTTCCACGTGACAGACAATCTCTCCTCTTATCTTTTGACTATTTCTCTCCAAAGTTCCTAACCTCCATATTTTCATCCTTTTCTAATAGCAGCTTTGGGGGCTTGTTTGGATGTAGATACGGCACTATTTTATTAAAATTAATTGTAATAATATATATATTTTTTTGTTTGCTTGTATTCGTCATAGATTTTTTTGAGATAAACATAGAGGCAGTTTATCTTTTTCTAAAGTTGTTTTTACTCTATTAAAAGTAATTAGTTTAAAATCACAATTTTTTGTAAAAGTAATTAAAAAGATAAAGTCACAAGAAAAATTAAAATAATTAAGTAATATACTATATAATATAAGATATATATAAAAAATAATCTAAATAATAATATACAAAATATATTCATTTTAGACAAAATAATCTAGTGCCAATAAGGTCTAGGCATTATGAAAACAAAGTAAACCTTGCCTCAAATTCTTATCCAAGAAGCACTTTGGATATCAAGAATATCTTTGATGATTTTAAAATCAATTTTCAATGACAACTATAAAATTTGAAGCTCAAAAGATGGTATAGATTTTGCGGATATGTGAACACTTATTTTTAAGGCGAAATGGACAGATTAGGTAATGATGGACAGATTAGGTAATGTGTTACAATATACACTATTTTTAAAGCTCAAAAATCTTAATTTATTTCACAACCCATTGGTCAAGGCCGAGATGACCATCACTCTAAAGGTTTTCAGAGGCCAAAACTGCAATTTTCGGTGAGTTTTTAGGTGATGGTTTTTTTTTTTTTTTTTTGAGCAAAGTTTTTAGGTGATGTTTTACTTATTTTAATAGAGATGCAGCCCTATCAATATATTTCCCTAAAACTAAATTTCATTCAAATAAGCCCCGGCAATGTACAAGCATGTACAGTGGGATATATGACATGACTAGAGCGAAAGATCGCTGGGTTTGGCTGCATGCCAAACTCAAAAGCAATCAATTATGAAGAAAAGAGCTCGTTGGGTTTGGCTGCATGCCAAACTCAAAAGCAATCAATCATGAAGAAAAGAGCCCCTGCTTAATTGGTTAGCGCTTGACGATTTGCAACGCTACGTTAGAGGCTCAATTCCCACCAGGGTGGGGGCCCTTTCCCCGTTGATTCAACCAAAAAAAAGCAATCAATCATCCTTAAGTCGTTGAACAATTTAGGAATTGAGCTTGAGTCAAGGCGAAAACAGCGGGTTTTATAGCTTTATGTCCCAAATTCCATTTCTATATAACCTTGGCAATAAAAACAAAAAAAACCGATATAACCCTGTGCAAAAAAAAAAAAACAAAATTTTGTTGAACAATTCTCTTGTAACTATTTCCCTTAATGCTTTTTTGGGCCAACCATTGCCATAGAAGGAACTTCCTATGAACTATGGATAACCATAATCCACTAAGGTAACCACCGGAGGATGAAATGATGGACCATGGTGAACAGAGAGTGTTACCCGCCAAAACCTCAACAGTGGGTCCTCCCCTCTCTACAGTGCCATCGATCATTTTCATCCAGTGGTGATTACCTAAAGGGACCATGAAAAACCATTGTCCCTTGGCCTGCTACACTTTCCTTCATGAGAACAGCAATTTACCACTCATTTTAATCTCCATTAAAAAATAGGAGCATCTGGAACAGCTCGAGAAGGGCGCTAGGCTACCTCGATTGTGGCACAGGCAACCCCATTGACGATTGCTGGCGCTGTGACCCGGATTGGGCCCTCCACCGTAAGCGACTCGCCGATTGCACTATCGGCTTCGGAAAGGATGCAATCGGGGGGCGAGACGGCCGCTATTACACAGTCGTGGACCCCAGCGATGAAGACCCCATCACACCCAAGCCGGGCACCCTGCGCTATGCAGTTATCCAGGATGAGCCCCTCTGGATCATGTTCCAGAGGGACATGGTCATCCAGCTTAAGCAAGAACTCATAGTTAATAACTTCAAGACCATTGATGGTCGTGGAGCTAGTGTCCATATAGCTGATGGTGCATGCATTACCATCCAATATGTGAGCCATGTCATCATACATGGGTTGCACATACATGGCTGCAAGCCTACTGGGAATGCCATGGTGAGGAGCTCGCCGAGACATTATGGATGGAGGACAATGGCAGATGGGGATGGAGTGTCGATATTTGGGTCGAGCCATGTATGGGTCGATCATTGCTCGCTGTCCGATTGTGCGGATGGGCTTGTGGATGCGATCATGGGATCCACGGCGATCACCATCTCCAATAATCAATTCAACCATCATGATAAGGTATACTCCTCTGCTCTATTCTTTCTCAGATAATTGTTCTTTAATTATCAGTGCTTTAACCCTTAAGGTTTGTATAAAGCTGAGACCCTAAACAATCGAAGTAAGGTACACCTTTAAATAGTTTTGAAATATATTGTTTCAGTGTTAGAAATCTTTGTGATGGTTTGAATATAAAATAATGTAAATTGGGCTGATCCATGGACACTTAAAAATCTTGGAAATTGACTGTCTAAATAATACATTACAAGATGCACTATTTCCAAGACTCGAAATCTATTTTTTCTCATGTCCATACATCTTGAGATCGGGATGTTCGAATTTAGGATTTTTCAACATCGAAACAACCTTTCTTGGTGAAGTTTTGAGGTGCGCCTTAGTTTGATTATTTAGGACTATTCCATCAGCAGAGGGACTAGGTTGGGTGATTTGAGATTTGAACCCGAGTCCATGTTGCTGAGGCCCTTGTTCCTGATCACTTAGTAAGGAGCCCAAGTTTCCATAATGGACCAAGTTAAATATAGGACCCCCTATAGACGATGTGTTGGAAACTTTACAAACACATTTGAAAATGAACTGTTGTTTTCAATCATTTTGAATCATTCATTATATAAGTCAAGTTTCTGGTCTGAAGTCTGAACTAATTTGTGGTTATTCTTTACTTAATGAAGGTGATGTTGCTAGGTCATAGTGATTCTTACGAGTTGGACAAAGGCATGCAAGTGACCATTGCCTTTAACCATTTTGGAGAAGGCCTGGTCCAAAGAATGCCAAGGTAACACCACTTTCTTATGATATTTTGTTAGGTATCTTACTTGATTTGCTGGGCTTTAAAAAAATAAAAAAGAAGCATTGAACTGGAGTGAGCAAATAATTCCATGTTATAGACAGGGTTAGGACTTACTGTTATTTTTCGAACATTAATCAAAATATTATTGCTGTGAAATAATGGCGATGCAGGTGTAGACATGGGTATTTTCATGTGGTGAACAATGACTACACACATTGGGAGATGTACGCCATTGGTGGGAGCGCATCCCCCACCATTAATAGCCAGGGCAACAGATATCTTGCACCTACTAACCCATTTGCTAAAGAGGTAAGCATGTTCATATAGTAGAGAACCAAGGTTTTACAAATTGTTGAATTGAAATCACCCAAGTCAGCTTGGAATCGATGGTAGGCGATTCCAGTTTGAGGAACCCCAGAATCGTCCGATTCCTCTGATTTTCACTGTTGTCATTTTTTATCGCATCCATACAAGATCTGACCCAAGAACAGCCCGATTCAGATCGGTCGACTTGGAATTGGTTTCGCAGCAATTCAGGGGCCAATTCCGACTTTCCAAACCTTTTCCTTAGGCCAAGAGAAAGAAGCCTGCAAATTAATATCACATATCCATATATATCTGCTAACCATTTTCTAAGAGAGGTAATTTCAAGTATGCTAACCCTCAACTTTTCGGCCAAAAGAGAGGAACCTAGAAATGACTACCAAGTATCTACAAGTCCACTACCCTGTTGCTGATGAGACTATATTTTAATTGATGGTATGAAAATCTTTCTTTGAAATGATTCCCATATGCTTTAGGAGAGAAACCTAGATATGACTACCAAATATCCTCATGTGCTTGACATTTCAACAATTGCATTACTAATTTCACTTATTGCTTGGATAATTTCACTTATTGCTTGGTTAATTCACTTATTGCTTGGTTAATTCACTTATTGCTTGGAATGAGAGGAAGTAAGAATACTTTTGACCACTCTGTAATCTTAGTTTCTGAACTCTCTCTCTCTCTTTCTCATATTTTGGCTATGTCTGTGCAGGTCACTAAGAGGGTGGATACTTTAAGTGGCGTTTGGAAAGACTGGAATTGGAGATCGGACAGGGATATGATGTTGAATGGGGCATTCTTCACACCCTCGGGCACTGGAGCATCCACTGTCTATGCCAAGGCTTCCAGTCTAGGGGCCAAGTCTTCATCCATGGTGGCCTCTATGACTTCCAATGCTGGCGCTCTCTTCTGCAAAAAGGCCCACCCTTGCTAACCCCACAAACCGAACTCTCTCTCTCTCTCTGACTTTGAGGGAAAAATTAGATGTCTTTTTATGTATCCTACCGAAAGAGATATCTGTTAATTTAGTCTCATATTTTTGATTGGCATGTGTATATAACGGCCACTAGATGAAGATATCAAAGGAAGCACAAAGAAACTCTCGTAACATAAAATCGAAAATTTCAAGCCTTTTTAAGTTTATATCAGAGTTGTCTTCCAATTCAAGAACTGATTTCACCAACAATTTAAAGATTGCCTTACAATAATTCCTTTTTTCTTCTGGAATGAAGAAAATACTTCCTTTAGAGCTATTCAACTATAATATGTTTATTTCATGGTTTAAATTGTCAAACAAACATGTTATAGAAGGGGAATAGTGCAGTTTAGAGAAAATAGGGCCAATTCCAGATTTCAGGAGGATTCGGCCCAATGACTTACTGAATTTGACCCAGATCAGTGATTTTTAAAACTATACTTTCGCCAAAAAGATCCATCAATATTTTGCTTTAAAAAGTATATCAACTGCAATTAGTTCTGCCTAAAAATCTATTATATCAATATATCTTCTACGAAATACACTTGAAACTAGAAAACATATGCATCATGGGTTCGTATCCAAAATGTAAAGAGAGAAATATTAATCTGTAAAATTCATAATTGGAGGAAAAAATATGAAATTGGTGTATTTCTCTATTGATATGGGGGGCTATATATAACAATATACACCATGCATAACAAAATACAACAATATCCTTGCTTGTGGGGATGGTGAATAAGAAATCTTTACAAACTAGAAGGTAATCAAACACTTAAGAATATGGTCAAGTCAATCTCTACAAACTAGGAAAGTAAATGTGGCCAAGTCAATCTCTACAAATTAGGAAAGTAAGTTCTATATTATTCAACACTCCCCCTCAAACTGGATTGTGGAGGAGTGAGACACCAAGATCGCGCAATAAATAATGAAATTGGTCCCGTCCCAGAGCTTTAGTGAAAATGTATGCAAATTGATTTTTAGTGGAGAGAGAAGCTATTTTAGGAAGACCATTTGAATTTTCTCTCAAACAAGGTGGCGGTCCAAGTCGATATGTTGCATTCTTTCATAAAAGACAAGGTCTGTTGCAATGTGGAGTTTTGCTTCGTTGTCACAATAGAGGAGCATGGGATGCGAATATCATATGCTCAGGGCAAGAAGAAGGTATTTGAGCCAAGTGAGCTCACAAGCAGTGGTAGCCATGAGGTGATATTCTGCTTCCGCAAAAGAACGAGATAAACTCGTATGCTTTTTAATGAGTTATTATATAGGATTGTTTCCAAGAAAAGTTATGTATTCAGTGGTGGAATGCCAGGTCATTGGGCAACTTATCCAATCGGAATCACAAAATGCGGATTGTTGCAGGTTGTTTGTGGAGGACAGTAAAATTCCTTGCGCAGACGTGTGTTTTAAATAACATAAAAGACAATGAGCTGTCTGTGGTTTGTGCATGAACTGGTTCAAGATGTGCACAACATAAATAATGTCGGGTCGTGTACGGTCTATCAATCGTCCCTTTGATGACGATATTGTCTTGAATGTGATAAAATTTGACCCTTATCATTATAAAGTTTGTCATGTTGCTCCATGGCCAATGAGAAATGATATTGGGATGCAACCAAGGAAGCCAATTTTAGACAAAATATCCAAGGCGTATTTCCTCTGAGAAAGAAGGATCCCTCCAGCAAATCGTACGACCTCGATACCAAGAAAGTATTTTTGTAATATTCAAGATCTTTGAGGTGAAACTGAGATTGAAAAAATACTTTCAATGAGGAAATAGCATTTACATCATCGCCAGTGACGATCACATCATCAACATAAACTAGGACAACTGTAAATGTGTGATTGATATTGGACGTGAGCAGAGAATAATCCCCAATGGATTGTTTGAATCCCGCATCCCGAAGAGCTTAGGAAAATTTTCAAACAAATTTTGAGAGGCCTGTTTAAGTCCATAAAGAGACTTATACAATCGGCAAACTAGAGGCTCCCCCTTACGAGGATTATCCAGTGGAAGTTTTATGTATACTTCTTCATGTAGATCCCCATGTAAAAATTTATTATTTTCATCTAATTGATGCAATTTTCAACCTTTTTGCAGCAGCAATGGCTAAAAGACATCTCACTGTTTCTTACTTCGATACGGAAGTGAATGTCTCATGATAGTCCAACCCTTCCATTTGCGTATAGTGCTTCCCAACAAGGCGGGTTTTGTAGTGATGGATGGTGATATCTACCTTGTACTTGATTTTGTATACCCATTTACAGCCAATGGGGTGTTACCCGGTGGCAAAAATTGAACAACCCAAGTGTTATTGAGAGCAAGAGCCTTAAGCTCAATTTTCATGGCATCACGCTAGTGGGATTGCTTGACAGCTTGCGCATAAGTCTGTGGTTCATCATTAGAACAACGGTTTGTCAAAAAGGCACGATGAGAAGAAAAGTTAGAATCTGAAATAAAATAAGAAATGGAATAGAGTTTACCTGGTTAAATAAGGCCTGATGGAGGTTACCGGAGTGAAGTCATATTAGTGAAAGATGAGATTGGGAACACATGTAATCATTAAGATGAGTTGGAAGCCAGCTGACACGTACCAAACGACACATTAGGGTAAAAGCGAGAATTTTTGTAGGAGGTATCATGGTACCGGCTGGAAGGGATGGAATTGGGTTAGGCGACTCAAGAGTAAGTGGCACCCCAATATCAGGATTAGGTAGGTTTAAAGGTGGAACTTCAAAAGTATTATTGTCCACAACATGCATGGGAAGAACTGTGGAAATGGTCTTAGGTTCCATGGCTTTGTCTTGAAAAGAGAATGCATCTTCACAAAATATCACATCTCGGATAGTGAAAATGGTCTCCTTTTGTAAGTCAAAGACACAATAGCCTTGCTAACCATGAGGATATACAACAAAACCACATTGCTTAAATCTAGGATCAATTTTGTGTTTATGAACATCACTATTATGAGCATAGCAAAGTACTCAAAAGCGCGTAAGTGTTCATAAGATAGCTGAGTTTTAAAATAATACTTCATGCGGTGATTTGTGAGACTATATGAGTATGAGAATTTTATTTATCAAGTATGCTGCTGTTAAAATACATTCACCCCAAAATTTAATGGGAAGATGGGTATGAAAACGCAAAGCACATACCACTTCAAGTAAGTGATGGTGTTTGCGCTCAACAACGTCATTCTATTTGGGTGTATGTAGGCATGTTTGCTGGCTTAGGATCCCACATTCTTGAAAAAATATTTGCATGGCGTGAGACAAGAACTCAGCTCTATTGTCAGTTCGAATTTGTTGAACACGACAATTGAACTGGGTTTGCACCATTTGCAAAAAAAATTTTTAAAAAATGGTCAGTAGAAGATTTGAATCTCATCAAGAAAACACATGTGCATCATGAGCAGTTGTCTACAATAGTTAAGAAATAATATGCTCCTGAGTGGGATGGAGTGGAGTCTCCACTCTATATATCACAAAGGATTAAATTGAACGGTTCACAAAATTTATTCAAACTAGAAGGAAAATGAACTCTAGTATGTTTAGCCAAAGTACATGCTCCACAAAAAGAAATAAAACATGGAGATATATCTAGGATTTGAAAAAGACAAACTAGACATCTGGTGTCGAGAATGATGCTCTAGCCTCTTATGCCATGACTCAGCATAATGACTCTGAATGGCAAGCAAGGCAGTGAGATAATTAGGGACACCAGAGACGAAGTGGTATAACCCGTCTCGCACCTCACCGACTCCAATCAACTTCTTCATCTTGAAAGACACAAAAGCTAGGAAAAAAGGTAGCATCACAGTTCATAAAACTAATTAATTTGCTTCTAGAAAGAAGATTGTAATTGAAAGCTGTAACACAAAATACATTATCTAGGCTAATAGTTGGATTCAAGTTTGATTTCCCTACATGAGTAATCGAAGCAGTGCTACCATTAGGCATGCAGATAGGTTTATCATTACGATTTGGAGCACAAGTTGATAGCCCATAAGTGGAACAAATAAAGTGGTTGGGTGCTTCGAAATTAATAATTCATGTGTCATCATTGTTTTTGGGAATGGAGAGACAAATTTCCATACCTGCAAAATTTGCAACACTAGGTTGGGTTTCAACTTTCAGTATGGACATCAACTTTTAGTATTGGCTCGGAGTAACTGCTTTTCCTTGCAGGGTTGATAAATTTGTAGCCCCTTTTGTTGTTCTTCTTGCTGGACTAAGAACTAAACTTTGTTAATATTGGGAAGATGGACCATAGCCAAGATTTGACCATGAACAGTCCCCAAAGAATCACCCAATCCCATTAGGAATTGGTACATTTGTTCGAGTTGTTGTTGAGCCTGCATCTCCTTAAATGATTCACAAGAGTACACATAGATTTTCGCGTATGAGGCTAGTTCGTCCTAGATGGCTTTCATAGAAGAAAAATAAGAGGCTACTGAGGATTGCCCTTGCTGGATCACAGAGAGCACCCTCTTGAGATTATACATTTTTGGACCATTTCCTTGGGAAAATATGTCATTACGATTTGTCCAAATTTCATATGTGGTGTCTGTATATGCAACACTATCTACAAGATCTTTGGAGAGTACATTAAACAACCACGAAACCACCATGTGATTGCATCTCTCCCAAGTCTTGACAGCAGTAAGTGGTTCACATGGTTTTGGGAATGAACCATCTACGGAGCATAGTTTATTTTTCGCTCTTGGAGCCACAGTCATAGCCATTCTTCATGTCTTGCAATTGTCTCCAAAAAGATGTTTAGAGACAAACACAGCTCCGGGATTGTCATAATGATGAAGATAATTAGGAGAAGAGAATTTGGAGACAAAAACATCATTATTTTCAAGGAAAAGCTGAGACTCGTTACTTAATTGCGAGTTTGCATCATTTCCATTGTGTCATAGCTTGAAAGTGAAGAGAGAGATGACAAGCAAGTTCGTTATGGACTTTTACTACTCTGATACCATGTAAAATTCGTAATTGAAGGAAAATATATGAAATGAATTTATTTCTCTATTGATATAGAGCTATATATAATAATAGGGTACGGTTTGTATAGAGCCTAGGCTCTAAACGATCAAATTAGAGTCTACCTTCAAATAGTATCACGAAATGTGGTT